GCCTCAAAGACTGCCTAGTGAAACTTTCTAAAGTATGTAGACAGAGCTACCGAAAAGCTTAGAGCCTCCAAGCAGTGGTGGCACACACCTTTAATCCCAGCACTCATGAGGCAGAGGCAGGCAGATCTCTGAGATTGAGGCCAGTCTGGTCTACAGAGCAAGTTCCAGGACAGACAGGCCTATACAGAGAAACCCTGTCTCAAAAACATAAAACTAAACAAATTGACTTATTAGTCCAATAAATTCCCTGTCACTGATAAAAAGATTTTGCCAGTCTAGATTGACATGGTCAAAGTCAGAAGCAGCAGAGAGGCAGACAGAGATACAGCCCACACTGCCACTAGTAGCAAACTCTTTTCCAGAGAGCTCCACTGTTGTAAAGATGAGATTTTTGATTGTGTAGGCCGGTGAGAAGCATTTCAGGACATGTAAAATAAAGAGGTTTATTGGGAGATTTTTGAGATGGCTATATGGCATTCTAATTTTATTATACCTTAATGTGGGGGGCTGTTGGGTGCACATCACAGTTTGTGTGAAGGTCAGATGACAACATATAGGACCAAGTTCTTTCCTTTCACTATCTGGGTCTTGAGACCTTTATTCAGGCCTTCAGATCTGGCACCATCTCTCCAGTCCTGTGCCTGGAGCAATTCCACATGAACAGAACTTCCTGCCTGGAGGCAGTCTTCACAACAAATGCTGGTTGTGTTGGAATTCTCTGCTCTCAGCTAGACTTTAATGAGACCTGCGGGTGACAGGGCAATATACTTTGCTTTTTGGTTGTTGATTTTCCAGAGAGAGTTTCTTGGTGTAGTCTGGCGATCATGGAACTCTGTAGACCAGACTGGTCCACCTGCCTCTGCCTCCCAAGTGCTGGGAGTTACTTTGCTTTCCTTCTCTTTTAGGGTTTGTGGGGCTTTTGTTGTTGTTGTCTGTTTTTTTGGTTTGGGTTTTTTCAAGACAGCGTTTCTCTGTGTGACAGCTCTGGCTATTCCAGAACTTGCTTTGTAAACCAGGCTGGCCTCAAACTTAACAGAGGTCCACCAACCTGACTCTGTAGTGTAGTCAGACATTTCTCTCCTGACTGACAGCTCCCAAATAGCCACTCAGGGGCTTAGTATTACTTATAAATGCTCGGCCAATTGCTCAAGCTTGTTACTAGCTAACTCTTACACTTAATCCATGCTTCTTATCTATGTTTTGCCATGTGGCTCATGGCTTGTTACCTCATTTTCTATATACCCTGCTTTCTCAGTGGCTGGCTGGCTGGCACCTCTCCTCCCTTCTCCAACAAACCCTCCTGGTGTGTGCTACCACAATATCCTGGAACTTACTTTGTAGACCAGGCTGGCCTCCAACTCACAGGTCCTCTAGTCTCTGACTTCGAGTGCTGGGACTAAAGGACTGTGCCACCACTGCATGGCTGATACTTTGCTTTCTTATACCCCGCTCCCTTTTTTGCCTCAAGAGTAGCTCTGAGTTTTCACACGGGACAATCTGAGATTATACCTATGAACATTCCCTTGCAGAGCAGAGGAGGACTCACAGGCCTTCACAGGAGATCTTCAAGAGGCCTGAGATCATCCATGGGAGACTCAGAAGTCCAAGAAGCATGTGGTGACCAATCCCAGACTATGCCCAACAAGGCCAGTTATACAGGGGATAATGAAGTGTGTGAAAGAAGCTGCAGGGAACCCAGCCGTGTGATTTCATGTCCATGTCTCTTCTCCCTTTCCTCTTCTGCAATGCTGAGGTTCAAACCCAAAGTAAACTGAGCACAAAAGACATAGGTATATATATATATATGTGTGTGTGTGTGTGTGTGTGTGTGTGTGTGTGTATGAATGAACGATGTATGTATATGTATACATATATATATACACACACACATATACATATATAAAGCCCAGCAGTGTACTGAACTGCTTTAATACCAGCACTCAGTAAGCAGAGGCAAGTAGATCTTTGCGTTTGAGGCCAAAGTGACTTCTAGGACTGGATAGTCAGGGTTACAAAGGGAAACCATGTCTCAAAACAAGCAAACAACAAAAACAACAAGATAAAACAATGAAAAAGAAGAAATATTTTCCTGAAACAAATATACAGGACTGACAAGATGGCAAACACAGGGACCATCCTGCCTCTTGAAAGCTGGGGTTACATGTGCGTGCCTCCATACCTGGTTTAAGTCTAGAATGCTTAAAGAACTTTTCTGCCTCGTAATTTAAGAAACACTTATTTAAATCCTGATAAAGCTTTTTTTTGTGTGACAATATTAATTTTTCATGTATCAAGGAAACCAACGCCCTAGTCTGGCCTCTGCAGGCACCAGGGACATATATGATACACAGACATACATGCAGACAAATAAACAAATAAATAAATAAACACACATTAAAAATACATAAAATTTATTTTGCAAATTTTTTAAAAGATGCACACTATGTATGCCTCCCAGCACTTGGGAGGGAGAGGCAGGAAGATCTCTCTGTGAGTTCAAGGTCAGCCTGGTCTACAAAGCAAGTTCCAGGAGAGCTTGGGTTACACAATGACACTCTGTCTTAAAAAACTCACAAAGATACACCAGCAATAATACTTCTCTTACATGTCTACAATATAAAAAAAGACTATAGAAAAAGCAAAACAAAGTATTCAAGGAAAGATAATCTGAGACCAATCCAGACTGAATTAACTTTATTCTGTAAGGAATTTAGAGACCTTGAGCAAATATTGATATTGCATTAAAAACAAAATTTGTACATCATCCAAACTTTAAAAACCAAGTCAGTATTGATACTAAAAAAATGTATTAAGCAAAATTTCATTTTAGAACAAAATACTATCAGTGTTTCTTCACAAAGAGATCCACAAACAGAAAATTCGAAATGATGTAACTTTTGGGCCTCAAAGAGACCCAGCGAGTTTCAGGGAGCACCATTGAACCAGTGTGACTGCCATGTACTCTGTAAGGTAACAAACTAAGGCGGGAAAAAGTGCTGACGACGACTATTCTGGTGTGAAGTTGAGTTTCATGATATTGTTACAGTATTTCCTCTACTTTCTTCCTTCAAGAGAAATAACTGGATATGTGAAGGTCTAAAAATTATTTCCCAAATACATTTTACCTTTCCAGGACAAAGACACTTATACTTAACAAACAGAATACTCATTCAGCAATACAGTTATTAACTATGTTAAAAATGTTTTGATTGTGAATCACTAGAATTACAGACAGATATTAGCTGCCATGTGGGTGTTGGGAACTGAACCTGGGTCCTCTACAAGAGCACCAAGCGCTCTTAAGGAATGGATCACTGATGTGGGATTCCCCTCAGTATGCTGTGATTCTGGCGGCTGGGATGAACAAGTGGCTCCTCACTACGGATGACCTCTCTAGCCTTAAAAGTATTTAACAACTCTAGTATACTCTGACTTAAAAAACTCTAAATCAAGAATATATACATATATATTTGTTTGTTCTCTTTTTTATAAGACAGGGTCTTACTATATAGTACTGACTGGCCTGAAACTCATTATGTAGAATAGGTTGGCCTTGAACCCATGGATCATCCTGCCTCTGCCTCCTAAAGGTTGAGATTACATGTGTGGGTTTAAGTCAAGGATGCTTAAAGAAATTTTCTACCTCTTAATTTAAGAAATATTTATTAAATACCCGAGAAAGCTTTTTTTCTGATGACAATATGAAGTCTTTATGTATCCGGAGTATTAAAAATAGTTTCAGGCAATCCAATTACACCACTCAGAATCAGACCCCAAAAGCTCTAAAGTACAATTCTTGGAGGAGGCGGGTTGTGTACTAAATGTTGTGCACTTTTACCAAGAGAGACTGTAACCTGAAACTTAAATACCAATATTTCATGTAATTTGCTTGTTTTCTTTTATTATATTTGTGTGTGTATGTGCGCTTGTGCCCACATGTATGCATATGAGCACATACTGCATGTCAAAGAACAACTTATACTTCGTGCTATATGGATCATAGGATTGAACTCAGGTGACCAGATTTGGCAGCACAAACCTTACCATCCAAGTCATCCGAGTCACCTCATCTGCCTAAGAACCAGCACTTGCTTTTTTCTTGTGTTAGACCTTGGGCACACTTAGGCAAGTGCACTACCACTGACCTAGATCCCCAGCCCTGTTCTTTGTTGTTGCTTTATGTTTTTGTTTTCCAAGACAGGGTTTCTCTGTGTAGCCTTGGCAGCCAGGCTAGCCTTAACTCCCAGAAATTTGCCTGCCTCTATCTCCTGTAAGGCTTCATTATGTAACCCCAGGATGGCCTCAAATTCATGATCTTTGTACCCCTGCTTTGGGTTCCAGGATTACAGGCATTCACCACCTGCCTTGTTTTAACAGGGAAAAATTCATAACCTACTCAATCATCCTGAAGGACAATGAGACTAAAAGCAATAAGATATTTATATATAGCATAATATAGATGTCTAAAGAAACACTTTGGAGGGAAAGGAATCATATTTTTAATATGATATAGCCACAATCACTTTCTCTAAAAGTAGGCAAGGAACGAATTAGCATTTAGGCACAGTCAGGTTGGGAGGGAACCTGACACAGTAACATTAATGCAGCAGAAAGACGTGGAAAGATGAGGGTGGCAATCTCAAGCACTAGAGAGGTAGATGCAAGAGGATCACAAGTTCAAGGCCAGTCTGTGCTGCAAAGGGACTCTCTCAAAAGGAGGAAGAATAAAAGAAAGAAATGCAAAAATCTCATTATGCTGCTTATGTCTAATTTTACAAAACCAAAGGCAAACCAACTATTACTCATTTCTGATGAAAAAAATTAAAATAAAAACTCTGAACCTATTTTGTGAATGTCTATTGTAACATTCTTTGATCCTGTTCATGAGTTCCAGTCAGTCAAATAGAGGAGGTAAGCTTAAAAGGCAGCAACAAACATGACAAGGACGTCACCTTTCTCAGATGATCACATCGCATTTTCAGTGACAGAGGAGAGGTCAGTGACCCTCAGTGACTGACAGACTTTATTAGTACATTCAAGACAAAACCCCACTGTTTCCAGACTCTTAAATATTGGTATCCAAGGTTGACATTAAGGAGTATCGCACTCTGAAAGGAGGTCTGATTGGAATGGGGTTTGGACCAGTGTGGGGCAGTACTTACTGACAGACGACTTCTGTAACGAACAACTAGTTTCTTGTATTTAAAAAATAAGCAAGACAGAATTTCAGAGTCTTACTTTACAATACATTGTAAACGTCACAGACCAGCACAGGTACAAAGTGGCTCCAAGTGGTTTATAATACTTTGTATCGTCCTTTATTTGTTGGTTGGTACGAATTTTGCTATGACAGAAAATAAAAGGTAGGTTAGAAAAAGCACACATAAAAAAGGTGAATGTTTAAGATAATTTTCTTTTAACAATTTGTTATACTATCACATAGCCAAAATAAAAAGGCAGTGGAAGCAGAGGGATAGTTCAGTAATGAATTCATTCTCTCTGTTTGCCCACATCCTTTCCCTGATAACTCTGTAGTCTCCAAGCATGAAGTTCTTTTTCTATTACTCTTTAGTGAAATAATCTCAAAACCGTTGTACACTACTATATTCAATAACCCAGGCTAACCATGAATGTATGAAATCCTCTTGGCCAGCCTACTAAGCACTGGGATTACAAGTATGAGTCACCATACTTGGCTTAAGTCCTTGACTTAAAGCTTGTTTGTATTTTCTCTTGTGTTGTATACCTTCTTTTTAAAAAACTATTTCCCTGGGCTAGAGAGATGGCTCAGTAGTTAAGAGCACTGGCTGCTCTTTCAGAGGATGGGAGTTCAATTCCAGCACCCACACACAGCTCACAACTGTCTGCAGCTCCAGTTCCAGGGGATCTAACAGCCTCACACAGGGATTCATGTAGGAAAAATACCAATGCACATAAGATAAAAAAAAAATTGTTAACAAAAAATATTCCTTGCCTCAAATTGGGCACTTGCATAGAATCACAGCACTCAGGAGGCAGAAGTAGGCAAATTTCTGTGAGTTTGAGGCCAGCCTGGTCTACAGAGTGAGTTCCAGGACAGCCAGGATTACATAGAGAAACCCTGCCTCCAAAAAATTAAAAAATAACAACTTAAAAATCCCCCAAAAAGATTTCTATGTGTAAATGGAATTTCAGAAAAGCCCCCCCCCAACTGCATTTATCCTTAGATAACTAAGCAGACTTCTTTTCCAAAGAAGCTGCTGCATGAAGAGTTTGTAGCCCACAACTGGTACTTAAGATCAACGATGTATCTGTGGCTCCCTTAGAAATTTTATCTTTAGTAGGCTTTTCTTTTTCCAAATTTAACTCACTGCCCAAAGTTTAAAATACTGGCCACACCATGGGCTGGTCAGGACACAGAATAACTGGCATTTCAGATGCTCCAATAAGTGAAAACTGGTAAATCCTTTTGCAAAACAATGTGGTAATAATACCTACTAAATAGATAAGACTATATGGTATTTAAAAATAGAAATTCTATTCCAAAGTGTATATTCAATAAAAAAATGCATTAATGTATAGCAAAAAATCAAAGAAGGTTCACAATTATGTTATTCATAAAAGTCAAAAGTAGAATACCCTCAAGTTCAGTATGTAAGCAAACTGCAATGTATATAAACAATGAAATAGCATGCAGGTATGAAAAGGCATGCATTGTTGCCACCTGCAACAATAGGCTGGCCTCCTCAGTATAAAGCTGAGGCATGAAGAGTAGACAGCAAGTAGTCTCACTACGCAGAGGTGAAAACACATAAAACTAATGGAAGCCAGAGGCCAGACTTCTAGATGGAGCAAAGATCTGCATTTCTTCATTTAGATAGTGACACACTCAAGTGCCTACTCCAAAATTTCATCAAGATATATTTATGTGAGGCTGGAAAGATAGCTCAGAGGTTAAAAGCCCTGGCTGATTTCCCAAAGGTCTTGAGTTCAATTCCCAGGAACCACACAGTGGCTCACAACCATCTATAATGAGATCTGGTGTCTTCTTGTGGCATGCAGATAGAACACTGTATACATAATAACTAAATTAATCTTTAAAAAAAAAAAGATTTCTGCGTTGAGACAGGGTCTCAAGCTCCACCAGGCTGGCCTTGAAACTCAACAGCTTCCACTTCCGAAAACACCAGGATTCCAGGTGTTCAGCTGGTAAGACAGGTGTTTATGATTTCTATGCCCGTGTGTATTAAAGTTCGATAAACAGTCACTAAAACAAGTAAGGCCTGAGGGTTTCACTTACCAGTCGGATCAGTTCTTCTTTAATGAGCCTGGTGATTTCTGCCTTTGCTTTCTGCACAGCCAGCTCGTTGGCACCTGATGATTGAGTAGAAAATGTATGGTTCATACTACTGTTTCTCCACTGAAAGGAGGTCCAGGAGACCACGCCTGAGGTAATGTTAGGGAGTATACTGCCTGCCAAGATAGTGAACTGGTACAGCTGGGTGACTTTCTAACTTAAATGCTGACCAAAGCATTGGACCTAACAGAAGTGTGTCAAGCCTGTGCGCACTTGGACAGCACATGCACCAAACTATGAAGATGCAGAGAAGAGGAACATGGCCCCTGAATAAGGATGACACACAAAATCATGAAGTACTAAGTATTTAAATAAAAGAAAATGTGTATGTCCTTAAAATTCGTACCTTCTTTAAAGCAATTTTCAAACATTAATCACCACAATAGGTCTGTCAGCTTTGAATCTATACAACTGTATTCTGAACTTATAAGACCTCAAGCGACACATGGTCACAGATTTCTTAGAGGTGTCCCTATTTTCAGTTCTTTCCTACTATCAACTTCACACTGACTCGTGTTACACCTACATCAACCCTGATCTAACTCAGGTGTCACACAAAAGCAACGGTACGTACTTTCAATCGCCAAGTAAATTTTCCGCTCTCCTTCCTTGGGCTCTTTGCCAGGAGGGAAGTAGGTGCCTCTGATGGTGATGGCGGCTTCCGAGTACTCACTGATTCTCTGCAGAGCTTCCTTAGATGTGACTTTCCATCTCGCCGTCTAAAAAAAGGTTTGGGGACTCAAATCACAACACAGAAGTCTGAGTTGAGGGCAGGTGAGATAGACGCTCAGTGGATAAGGGTTCCGCTGCCCAGGCTAGCGACCTGAGTTCAACCCCTGAACTTGCGGTAGAAGGAGAAAACCAATTCCAGCAAGCTGTCCTCTGACTGACACGCCCATCCTGATCCCTGTTCTCCTCCCAACTCCTAACACACAATACCACACAATTAATCTAAAATTCTGGGCTGAAAAAGAATTCACTAGGCAGTGGCAATGCACACCTTTAACCCCAGCATTGGGAAGCAGAGGCAGGAGGATCTCTTTGAGTTTGAGGCCAGCCTGGGCGACAGAGTTCCAAGATAGCTAGGATTACACAGAGAAACCGTGTCTCAAAACTAAAAGAAAAAAGAAAAAAAAAAGGAAGGAAAGAAAAGAAAGAGAGAAAGAGAACAGATCACAGATTCACTATTACTCTCGCCTATATAGGTAAAAGTCAGGCATTTAATGTTCACTTAGAAACAATCCTGTCTCAGGGGCTGGAGGTCCAGATCAGCACTGAAGTGTTGTCTGCGTGTATAAAGTCCTAGGTTCTCCTCTAGTGCAGAAAAAAAATAAGCAGAGACAGGACTGGAGATGTGTACTTGTCAACCCAGCACCTGTGAGGTAGGAGGGTCAGGCCCTACCTCAAAAAGAAAGAAAGAAAGAAAGAAAGAAAGAAAGAGAGAGAGAGAGAGAGAGAGAGAGAGAAAGAAAGAAAGAAAGAAAGAAAAGAAAGAAACGAACTAAGAAAGAACAACATGTGTTTTAAGGAAAGGGTTCTGTTCTGAAAGAAGCATTTCTACTTCACAATATAAAAACCTTTATATTTGTTACTTGCCTGTGGGAAGTCATTAATTTCTAACTCTTCCTCGTATCTCTTGAAAGATTCGCTCTGCCCACCCTCCTGCCTCTCCTCTTCCTGTTTCTCCAAAGGCACATAATTGAGCTTGGCATTGATCTTTTCAGCAAGCTGTTCTGCAATGGTTTTTGCCGACACCGTGGGAGCCAGAATGGTGCCCCCTCTGAGAATGGCATTGGTGGCTTGCTGCATCACATCCTGCGGTTTAAGAAGACCTCCAGTTAAACCTCAGCTGCAGAAGAGAGAGGGTCAAGGACCTCACCATAAATGATTCTCCCCAAAGCCACTAATTCCGCTTAATAAACAGAAAGTATCGAAAGCAATCCCTCACACAGTGTGAGTGCATAACTGCTAATGTCATTTTCCTCTCATGTTGACGAGAAAACCAAGGGACAGTCAGTGGCCTACCATGTATCACCACACTGTAGACACGGAGCATTAGCTAACGCACAGTACACAGAACATAACACGGTTTTTCTAAAATCGTATATCTTGTGACTTGTGGCATTTCTACTTTGTTACAATGCCTGTGTGGCCATCATCACTGAGCCTTCCCCTACCCACAATGAACCATCCAAAAACTCAATAACTTATCATTCTTTAGGCATGCTATAAAAATTCTATTTTGCTGGGCGGTGGTGGTGCACACCTTTAATCCCAGCACTTGGGAGGCATAGGCAGGTGGATCTCTATGAGTTCAAAGCCAGCCTTATCTACAGACCGAGTTCCAGGACAGACTCCAAAGCTACAGAGAAACCCTGTCTCGACAAACCAAAGCCAAAAAAAATAAAAAATAAAAAAAAAAATCAAAACCTTCTGTTTTACTTGGTAGTAAGCAGTGCCCAGCACGACGGCGCACTCCTATGATCTCAGGAGCAGGAAAGGAGAAACTGTCAGCTTTGGGTTGGCTAGGAATACAGACCCTGTGTCTAAAAACCACCTCAGCTAGGCGTGGTGTCACACACCTTTAGTCCTAGCACTCGGTAGGCAGAGACAGGCAGATCTTTGTGAATTAGAGGCCAGCCTGAACTACATAGTGAGTTCCTGAACAGCCAGGGTTACACAGAGAAAACCCTATCTCAAAAAAACAAAAAACAAAAAAAAAAAACAAAAAAACACTCAACATCAGATCACCAAAGAAAAGAGTTTCAGATTCTGGAGCATTCTGGATCAGGATGCTCATCTACTCTCTATGAGCTGTCCACAACTCATAGGCCTTATGGGGTTCTACAAGAGGCACACAGAGATGCTCCTGGAGGGGACCCACACTGAAAGTGGGGTCTGAAGCACGTGGGGCACACTTGTCATCCTGGCACGTGGGAGGCAGAGAAAGAAAGACCAGGACAGGGTCATCCTTGGCTACACAGAGGGCTCGAGGCCAGCCTAGGCTACAAAAAAACCATGCTTTTTTAAAAATGAAACACTTTCCACTTTGAACCATCACTCTACAGATTCTCCTGTCATGGCAACAGGAACAATGACTAAGACTCGGAACAAATTACTTAATACCTGAGACTCGATGCCTAGGTTTTTCTGAGCGTTGATTCTAAGAGCCAGCCTCTTGGCAATCTCTAGCTTCTCAGCGTTGCCTGCGGTTGGGGCAGGCACACTAGATGTGCCAGGTGCAGCCATGTCTTTTACTCTCTTCTTTGAATTAAACATGCTCTCAATCTGTTCATCAATCTAAAACAGGAGAAAACAAAGAATTAGTAAATACTGGGTTAGAAATATTAATTTAGTTGCACCTACATAAAAAGAAATGTTTCCATAAAAGGTTAGAATTAGTTAAATTTACATAAATTCAAATACATGAATCAACAGAAAAACCAGCTCTTCACTAACTTTTCTTTCAAAAAATTGTCTATGATGGAAAAATTAAAAAAAAAAAAAGACAAAGAATCTGTCATACTATAAGATTGCCGTAATCAGACTTCTGAGAAGCAAAAAAAAAAAAAAAAAAAGGAAAAAAAAAATCCATCCTCATCTTGTCAATGAAGTCAGAGCAGCACAAATGACGCACTGAACTGTTCCAGTTTGTTCTATAATGATAGAAGGTAGAAGGGCTGTCACTCAAAGCCCACAAGTCTCAGGAGGAATGATGCAGTGCGCTCCTAAGCAGGACTCCCACCTCTAATTCCTAAAACGAGTATTTTTCTTTCTCTTTTGAGACAGGCTGTCATGCAGCTCAGTCGGATAAACCACTGAATAGCTGAGGATCACCCTCAATGCTTTTTTTAAAATTTATTCATTTTATTTGACATGTGTTTTGCCTGCTTGCATATATATGTACCATGTATATGCTTGGTGTCTAAGGAGGCCAGAAGAGGACTTTGGTTGCCCTGGAACTGCAGTTAGAGAGGGTGGTGAGCCACCACGCAGGAACTGGAGGAACTGAACCTGGGTCCTCCAGGAGAGCAACAAGTGCTCTCAGCTACGGAGTCCTATCTTCAGCCTGACCGTGAACTCCTGAACCTTCTCCTCTCCTTTTCCAAGGGCTGGGACTGCAGGTTTGCAGCTTCACACTGAGTTCTTACACTGCTGGAGATCATACCAGGCTCTCAATTACCAGAAAGCACTCTAATAACTGAGTCCTTCTTTTAAATGAAGAAAAATGGGTCAGCAGAGAGGTATATACTTCTAATCCCAGCACTCTATAGAGATTGGGATAGAAGGATCAACAGGCCAGGGCAGGCTGCATACATAACAACAACCTGTAGAATAAACAAACGAGAAAGAGAAGGGACAAGGAAGGAAATGAAGGCTAACTTCCCTATGAGGCAAGAGCAACAATGAAGCTTTCAATTCTCCAAACCAGGAACCCTAGTGTAGTTATCTATACTGCCATTAAAAAAGGAAAATCACCTGCTATTAACTGTGTGTGCCTCAATGGATAACACACGGAGTCAGCTCCCTCCTCCCATCTTTACATGGATTCTAGGGATAGAACTCAAGTACCCAGGTTTATATGGCAAGCGCCTTTATCTGAGCCATCTCACCAGCTCCCTTGTCTTGTTTTAAATGTCTTTGAACAGGGCTTGGTGACACACATCAAAATCCTGTCTCAAAAAATTAACAGAAACGAAAAACCAGCTGGTGAGATGGCACCTGCCATGTAAGCCTGCTGACGGAGTGGCGCTCCAGGATCTACAAGCAAAGAGAGCCGAGTCACCTACACTGTCCTCGGGCCCCAACACACATGCCATGGATCATGCACCACAGAAACACACAAAATTAATTATTACAATAGAATTGAAAAAAGGACAAACAAAAAAGGACAGTTTTACCCAAAATGACTTGTGGAATCATGATGAAAGCCACATAACTTCCTTCAAAAGATCAGATGTAGTGGGTCTTTTATCTTCTCAGACTCAAATGTAGGGAAAGCTTGTTGGACTTAAATTTAATTAATTTAGAAAACATTTCTAATGAAATAGTCTCAATTTAGTTTCTTTTTATAAAATAAATAAATATATATATATATATATGTATATATATATATATATATGTTTTCCCTTATGGAGTTAGAGCCAAATAGTTTCTATGGTGAGGGTGTTTGCAACTGTGCATTTAACTGAGTGATGTTGTTTTAAATTAAACAGCACACATGCTTTTAAAAATCTCAGTAAAGAAGCTGGGTGGTGGTGGCACAGTCTTTAACCCCAACATTCAGGAGGCAGAGGCAGGGAAATCTCTCAGTTTGAGGCCAGCCTGGTCTACACAGTAAGTTCTAGGACAATCAGGGCTACACAGAAAAACCTTGCCTTAAAACAAACAAACAAAAGAAAATCACATTTGTGTATTTTGTGTGCATGTGTCATATATATAACATGGTTTTTTAAATTATGGGGAACATTCCTCTTGAAAGTAAGGTAGATCGAATGACTTGATCAACATCATTTTTTGTTTTTGACTTTTCCTTTTTGAGAGAGGGTCTCACGATGCAGCCCTGGCTAGCCTGCAACTTACTATGTATACCACAGCACCACAAAATTCAAAGGGATCCTTCTGACGCCCGAGTGCTAAGTATGCTACCATGCCCAGCTCTAACCTGCTAACTTGAGTTTACTCGCTACAAGGTAAACATATAACCGAGCAGCCACTTTACTTTATTCTACGCTCATGTGGTACACCAGAAAGAAACGGCCAGCAGCTGACAGGAAACCTGCCCTGTCTGTGTTCAGTCCTGAACCAATACTCTCACTGGTTTCAGTGTTCTCAACAGCCTGGTCAGGCTAAACCTACTTCCAAGACGATGTCTCAGCAGAGGCCATCTGCGGTTACATGAGAGAGTCTGCTGTGCTGCCCAGGCTGACCTTGTGCTCTGGGGTCACTGCTCCTGCCACAGTCCTCTGAGCATCTGGTACAGTCACAGATTACCACGTCTAGCTTGGAATAATTTACTATGATGTGTAAAAAACGTCCTCCTATGAACAAGCAAGCTCACAAACCACCCCACGGCACACACGCAGAGGCCGCGATACTTACATCGACTGCAGCATCCTCATCATCTGAATCCTGCAGGCCAAGAGCAGCTTTCTGTAACTTCTTCCTCTCGTTGGCTAACGCCTGTTCTGTTTCATCAAACTTGAATCCCTTGCCAGAGAAACCACTACTCTTTTTAATTATTTTTCCTTCCTTTAAAAAAAAGTTAACAAAGATAATTTTTAGAGTAAAACCTACTAAATATTTTCAAAGTAGAATATACCAACCTAACAAAAAACATAACAAAGTTTAAGCAAAAGAGAAGATTCTAGTTTCATTATTTTCCCTTCTAAAAATGTAAGTGGCTGGATGGGCACCTTTAATATGAGCACTCGTGAGGCAGAAGCAGATAAATCTGAGAGCTTGAGGCCAGCTTAGTCTATATACCAAGTACCAGGACAGCCAGAGCTACATAGAAATACTCTGGAGGGGAGGGGGAGCAAAAAAAACAAAACAAAACAAAACAAAAAAACCTAAGATATAAGTGAACACAGTTACCAGTCACGTCAATGACTCATATAAGGAAGTTTAGAACTCACTGCTTTCTGCTGATCTTTGAAGTCACTCCAGAGCTTTTCCAGGTCGGGAGGCACTGCCGTCCCTGACAATTCAAGAGCTTTAATTATGTCACCAGCATAGCGAGCTTGATCTTCTGTGATGAAAGTGTAGGCATAGCCCTAATGAAAATGAGGAAACAGAATTAAACAAGATGATTCAAAATCAACACAAAAACCCAGCACCTTAATTGTAAACCAGTAACAAACCTACTGACAAGATGAGGAATACCTCATTCACAGATCTCAAAAAAAAAAAAAAAAAAGTCTAGAAATAAGCCTAACCAAAAAGGCAAAGATTTCTACACTGAATACATTAAAACTCTGAAGATGCATTCTATTGGCAGGGTGCTTGCCCAGCGTGCACAAGCCCTGGGTTCCACCCCACCACACAGGTCGAGGCAGCTACACAATCAATTCTAGGCACACCTAAGGTATGAGACCCTGTCTCCAAAAAGAAGAAATTGAAGACGACAATACAAGAAAAGACCTGTCAGGAAGGATTAATAAAGTGAGATTGCTATATTACTGAGACATGATAAACAGACTCAATATAATACCCAGAAAATTCCAATGACATTCATTATTGAACTAGGAAAAACAATCCTAAAAGTCACATGAAAACACAGAAGATGGCAAGCAGCCAAAGCAATACTAAGAAGTACAATTATTTAGATATCATAATTCTATCTTTAGTTCAATATACATTTTTTTAACACCATAAACTGAGCTTTGTAAACAACCAGCGGACACTTGGGAAGCAGAGGCAGCTGGCTGCAGTTCCCAGTTCAGATCACCCTCTCTGCCATTCCATGAACTTCCGCATTCTCTCCACTCCAGGCTCTTTAAGGGCCAGCGACAGTGACCTCTGATGGAGGAGACTGACTGTCAGCCTCTGTCTCACTGCTCTCTTCCCACAGTCACTTAGAGATAGTCCACTCCTAGGTGGGAGGCGTTGGGGGACAATTTGAGACAAATATACCTGGCTTGGGAGGCAGGACACAACTCTGCTTCTGCAGATAGTTTCTTGGGGGCTCCACACATAACAAGTAAGAAATCTAATAATGTCTACTACAGGCATATACAAGAGCTACTTTAAGACAGGTTGAAGAGATGGCTCATAGGTTAAAAGCATTGGCTGCTCTGCCAGAAGTTCTGAGTTTAATTCTCAGACATCTGCAATGAGATCTGGTGCCCTCTTCTGGTCTGCAGGCAGAACACTGCATACATAATAAATAAATAAAACTTAAAAAAAAAAAAAAGACAGGGTCACCAATGGGCCTGGAGTTTCTGGCTGGCTGGCCAGCAGGTCACAGGAATACCTGTGTGTGTGCCTAAGCCCTTTCAACATTGGGATTACAAGTGTATGCTTACACACACCAGTTTTTTACTTGAGTTCTGGTAATTGAGTTCGGGTCCACAATGACAAGAGTCATCTCCCAGCTCAACATCCTTAGCAGGGAAAGACAAGTTAAAACTACATTGATACTCCATTTCATCCCAGTCAAAATGGCTAACATTAAGAAAACAAATGACGTCAGGCAGTGATAGCGCACACCTTTAATCCCAACACTTGGGAGGCAGAGGCCAGCCTTATCTATAGAGTGAGTTCCAGGAAAGGCTCCAAAGCTACAGGAAAAAAAAAAAAAAAAACTATCTTGGGGGGGCCGAGGGAGACAATAAATTACAGAAAATATCACACTATTCACAACTGCTAAGCAGCAGAGCCAGCACAGATGCATCAACAGGTGAATGGATAATGCAAATGTGGCACAGACACAGCAGAATTTTACACAGGTATGAAGAAAAATTAAATCAAGACATTTGTAGAAAATGGTACAAGAAGTCATTAGGTTAAGTGAAATAAGACAGACTTTAATGATCAAATACCACATGTGAACCCTAGATTTTAATTTTTCAATATGTATACATACATTTAGAGTGCATGTAGGTTATAAAATCAGAAAGAAAGGAACGGGGTACACTTGATATGAGAGCAGAAGGAAGGCTATGGAAAGAAGACCCACATGGTAGGAAGAACACTGGGAGAGAATGAAAATAAGAACACATATTAAACCATCATAATTTAAGAAAGATTTCTGGGATGGACAGTTGACAGCTAAGAGAGCCGGCTGCTCTGGCAGAGGACCCAGCTTGACTCTAAGCACCCACATGGTGGCTCACACCCACCTGTGACCCCAGGTCTAGAGCATCCAAAGCCTTTTCTGACTTCTGCGTGCACCAAGCTCACACATGGTACACACACAGACATGTCGTGGGATATCTGCACATTGTGTGAAGGTGTATCACTGTAATTGGTCTAATAAAAAGCTGAAACGGCCAATAGGTAGGTAGGAGGTATAGGTAGGACTTCTGGGCAGAGAGAGGAAGGAAGAGAAGGAACCTAAGCTATTTCTACCTGAAGAAGACAGCCAGGAGACGGGAGAGGAAACAAAGGGATAGACGGAAAAGAGCTCACGCACACGGCAGGATATAGATTAACAGAAATGGATTAATTTAAGTTATAAAAAACAGGTAGGAACAAGCCTAAACTATAGGCCAAGCTTCTTCTGACCTCCACAGGAAGTGCATGCATGTCTGTGCACCACATATATGCACTTCCTCAGAAGAGGACATTGGATCCCTTGAAACTGGAGTTAACAGACAATTATGAGCTACCATGGGGTCCTCCATGAGAGCAGTCAGTGCTCTTAACCGCTGAGCCTCTTAATTTGTTTATTTGTTGCTTTTTAAGACAGTCTGACACTATCCAATACAGGTCTTCAACTAATGGCAAGCCTCCTGCCTCAGCTTTCCAAGTGCTAGGATTACGTGCATGAATTCCAATGCTCAGCTTTAGCATTTTACTTTTGGAATTTTATATATAAATATATATATATATATATACACACATATATATATATTCATATTCTGCCATTTTTAGTTTATCTTCTGAGTCAGAGTCTAGTTCTATAGCTCAACGTAGTTGAGTGTCGTCTCTGCTTCCTAAGTGCTGGTGTTAGAGAAATGCACCTTCAAGCTCTGTTCATGTTTTTAGAATACAAAGTGCATGTTTGTATTTGATTATGTACACAAACACATTCTTTACATAATTATGTATTTCTGAAACTATTTTGCAAAAACGAAATCATCTGTATCATCTTCCTGGGAGTCTGGAAAGTGAGCACTCAGATGCCCCAGCAACTCTTCAGTCCAGGTAAGAGGAAGACGGGGCAGGAACGAGGACAAACCATCGGGTTATCATCTTCACATACATCCTAACCTAATTTCAGGAGTCGCCATCTGCTGCCCAGGCTCTGCAGATATGATCCCATGAGCTGACGATCCCATTTTATACGGTTATAAACACGCATGTGCAAACAGAAAGAGGGTATGATGAGAGAGTATATGTGGCCCCTAAAACATACTCACTACTCCTTAATCTTAAAAAAGAAATTATTCATTCATTTTATGTGTATGTGTTGTTGAGGTATGCCTGTGTGCCACATGTGTGCAGGAACCCATGGAAGACAGAGGACCCAGGTTCCTCTGACAGTTGGGAGTACCATGTGGGTGCTAGAAACAAAATTTGGGCTTTCTTTAAGAGGAGCAGGTAATGTTAACTACTGAGCCATCTCTCCAGTCCCATTCCTTAACCTTCTATAGGATATGCTTCCAGATTCCTCAAAATACCTCAATTAAGGAGGTGCTATTGCTACAGAACCTAAGATACAGATTTTATGTGCCTCAAATTTTCTCAGCTATAAAATGAACCGTGCCTATTTCATTGGGATACTGAGGATGAAATGTTCTTTTATGTAAAGAACTCAGAAGTTTAGCAGAAAAATAAGCTATCACTGGTACTATTGTTACATCATGATGCAACATCTAAGGTTGAAAAATCAAATATATCATTATTAATATTTCTAACAACGAAATACCCTCATGCCTTCCAAAAGAATTACTGGGGGCAGGGAACACTGAGAAATGACTCGGTGGTTAAGAGCACTGTGTGCTCTTCCAGAAGACCTGGTTTGATTTCCAGCACCAACATAGCAGTTCACAATTGTCTTAACTCCAGTTCCAGGGGATCCAACACTGGTCTCCATAGGCAATGTATACACAGATATATATGCAGGGAAAGCATCTATACACATAAAAATTAATTAAATAATTCTTTTCTTTAGAAGGAAGGAATGATTGGACATACAGCTCAGTGATGAGACACTTGCTATATCCCCAGCATTGCAAAATAGAAAAAACAAAAAGAGGGCTGGAGAGATGGCTCAGAGGTTAAGAGCATTGCCTGCTCTTACAAAGGTTCTGAGTTCAATTCCCAGCAACCACATGGTGGCTCACAACCATCTGTAATGGGGTCTGGTGCCCTCTTCTGGCCTGCAGGCATACACACGGACAGAATATTGTATACATAATAAATAAATAAATAAATATCTTTTAAAAAAAGAAAAAACAAAAAGAAAGAACTTTTGTTGTGTGTAGTGGCACATAAACAGTTTGTGGACAGCCTTGACAAAGACATCATCCCCCAAATACAACAGTAATGAGATCTTAGGCCCCTTTGGGAGTTGCATATAAGATATTTACATTTGATTCATAACAGTAGCAAAATTATAGTTATGAAGTAGCCACAGAATAATTTATGGGTGGTCATCACAACATGAGGAACTGTATTGAAGGGCAGCAGTACTAAGAATGTTGAGAACCACTGCCTTAGACTATAGAATGTCAAGTAAAGAAAACAAGCACAAAAAAGCAATGAAACATCGTGAATTATACATAAGTGTCTCTATGTGCAGAACATGTTAGGCAAGAGTGAAATATAAACTGTTACCACTACCTACTAGAAACCACAAAGGTACCTGATAATCTTAACTCTGCTTTGTTCTGGTTTTGGTTTTTCAAGACAGGGTTTCTCTGTGTAACCCTGGCTGTCCTGGAACTCACTCTCTAGACCAGGCCAGCCTCAAACTCACACAGATTCGCCTGCCTCTACCCACAAGTGCTGGGATTAAAGACAAGTGTCATCACTGTCTGGCTTAATTTTGTTTTAAATGTGCATGAGTGTTTGCTTTTATGTCTGTGCACCACATATACACCTGCTGCCTACCATGGCTAGAAGAGGGTATCAGGATTACCTAGAACTGTAGCTACAGATGGTTGTGAACAGTGAGTACTATAAACAGAACACAGGTGCTGTGGAATAATCCTCTGTACACTGTGTGAATATATGTCGCTATGATTAGTTTAGTAAACAAGCTGGCTGGCCAATAGCTGAACAGGATAGTTAGGTGGGAAAGCCAAACTGAGAATGAACGGAAGAAGAAGGAAGGAGTCAAAGGAGTCGCCAGTAAGATGATGAACAGGTTGGTCACACAAAATGGGACAGAAGTAAACCATGAGCCTCGGGGCAGCACAGTGATTAATAGAAACGGGTTAAGTTGTAAGATCTAGTTAGTAACAAGCCTGGCTATTGGTCAAGCATTTATAATTTATATTAAGACTCTGAGTCAGTTATTTGGGAAGCAGCTGCCAGTTAGTTAGGAGCAGGTGGCTGGGACAGGAAAACTGCCTATGCACAGGACTTCTGCAAAAAGGAGTCAGTGGGGCTGGAGAGATGGCTCAGAGGTTAAGAGCATTGCCTGCTCTTCCAAAGGTCCTGAGTTCAATTCCTGGCAACCACATGGTGGCTCACAACCATCTGTAATGAGGTCTGGTGCCCTCTTCTGGCTGGCCTGGGACATACACACAGACAGACTATTGTATACATAATAAATAAATAAATAAACATTAAAAACAAAACAAACTCAATTAAAAAAAAAAAAGGAGCCAGTGTTCCCAACTGAAGCACAGTCTCTCCAGCCCCATAACTGGTCATTTTAACAATATGGAGACACACACACACACACATGATTAACAACATCCAGTCAATGTTCAGCTATTTAAAGACATTCAAAATAACATCATAATGTTACTCTGCTATCTATTGCTGAAACTAAACACCTGTGCTGTGGTAAAGACATGACTGTAAAGACTTTTACTTTGTTGCCTGCCCTTCCAGTCCGTCCAGCTCTGTGCACATAATCTTCATAATGGTTGGGACAGCTGTAATTTACTACAAGAATCAGGTGTTTCACATCTAGACCTCGAGCAGCCACTGACGTGGCTACGAGAAGTTTGCAGGTTCCATTCTTAAAGTCATTTATGATGCTGTCCCTGTCGTATTGATCAATACCTGAAAGTAAATTAAAGAGACAAATAGAAAAACATGTTGAAAATTTCCATTTCTACTAAGAAAGTCCTAAACACAGAAATAAAAAACAGACTCAGGGCTGGAGAGATGGCTCAGAAATCTGAGTTCAATTCCCAGCAACCACACCCTCTTCTATCACGCAGGCATACATGTAGGAAAAACACTGCATACATAATAAATAAATAAATAAATCTTAAAAATTATATCAATTTGATGATTTCTCAAAAAAAAAAAAGTCTGAGTTCTGGTTCTAGCAACTCCATTACTCAGAGGAACTAACAGCTGTTAAGATAAACACATACCATAGTCACATCACACTCAAGAGTCTAATAATAAAACCACCTAGGTCTCTATCAACAAGTGAATCAAAAGAAGATAATAAATATACACAAAGGATGTACTATCTAGCTTTTAGAATAAAATCTAATACGTGTTAAAATATGAATCACAAAATCATGACTGCATGAACCAGAACAAATATAAAAGGATATGAAATGTATTAATTCCCAATATACAATACAAAGGATAAGAAAATCATAAAAGCATAAGATAGTACGGAAGTATCAAAGTTATAAAGGACAGGTGAAAGGAAGACATAGAGAATAATTGCTTAACTGGCAGTTTTCACTTGGATGATGAAAAGTTCTAGGTACAAGGAGGCAGGGAGAAGCTTCACAGGGAAACAGTGCTTGCTTGCTATGCAAAAATGAAGACTGACGTTCAAGTCTCTAATGGCCATGTAAAAATAGTCTCCTTATACCTTTTCCCCTACTAGCACTGGATCACGGAGAGAGGCGGATTCTGACAGCTGGGGCAGTGAGGCACTATCTCAAGGCAATCACGTGAAGAGCAATAGATAGCAGCCGCACCACATGAAATTGGAATTTTGTCAAACGTCTGTCAGACTTCTTCTACCCACATTACAGAAAACAAAGCAGATACTATTCAGAGCACAAGACAGTTGTTGACAAGTTAAGTTAAGCAAATGTTACCGCCATGAAGAGACATGCAGGGGTAAGACGCTCTCATCAAGTCCTTCAGGAGACCATCAGCATGCTCCTGCTTATCAACAAATATAATGACAGATCCCGACTCTTGATAATGGCCTAAAAGCTCCAGTAACTTCAAGAATTTCTTTTCTTCTTCAATCACAATCTGAAAACAACACATTGTAGCAAGTTAATGTAAAAAATGTGTCTTAAAACAAAAATGTTTAATCTGTATTAAATGAGGAGAAAATAATAGCTTCCTAGACCTTAAACTGGCTAAGCAAATGCGCACTTTTAACTGGTAGAGTAACTGTGGCAGCCAGTGTGGTCACTGGCTCACTCTGTCTCTTAACCTCAATTCCATTAATTAAAGACAAGAAAGATGTATCCCATTTCTGTTAACCTTCATTGCTGGTGGGGAGAACTAAAAAGAGCTTTATTAAGTCAGTTCCATGTACCTGGCAACAGACTGAAGGTTATAAGTGATGCATAATATTTAACTTTAGAAGTTATCTGCCTATTTTACAACTATGATATAAAAAGGATCACATACACACACTGTCTAAACACCAGGAAAACTAACAATTTCCTGAAAACGGTACCTACCACTTGTTGTTCCACATCTGAGCAAACCACACTCCTTCCCCCAACCTGAACTTCAATGGGCTTGCTCAGGATCCTGCGGGCCAAAGCCTCCATAGCTCTAGGGAAAGTAGCTGAAAACATAACTGTCTGCCGATCAGGACGAACATTATCCACAATGCGCATGACCTGAGAAAGCAATATATGTACATATGTATAAATACAATGAGTCTCCAAAAACTTACCCATTCCTCAAATCAAGCAGCAAGAACTTTGGAGAACTACTTCAGTTACTTTATATTCATTATCTTAAAAACTCTGAACTTATACCAGAATTTGCAGCTCTCAGTTTCATCTTGTCAAGAAGGGGCAGGCTGAGCTAGGGTGGCAAGTGTAGTGATATTTTGTGTTTTAACAAATAAACCTTGCCTGAAGATCCGAGTGCAGAGCTAAGCTGCTAGAGACCAGGCAATGGTAGCTAAGCCGCTAGAGACCAGGCAATGGTGGCTCGCACCTTTAATTCCAGTACTTGGGAGTCCCATGCCTTAATCCCAACACTAGGGAGGTGGAAACGGGAAGGGATATGGTAGGGTGGAGAGAGGAATATAAGGTAGGAGGAGACAGGAACTCAGATGCAGTCTGAGGTTTGCTGGAGATGTTTGCAATCCAAGGATGCAGTCTGAGGAGGCAGTGTGAGGACAGGACCACCCCTTTGGTCTGAGCATTAGTCCCACTAGTGGCTGGCTGCATTGCTTCTCTGATCTCTCAGCTTTCACCCCCTAATATCTGACTCTGGGTTTTTATTAAGAACAATTTAAATTCATGCTACAGGCAAGTGTAAAGTACGCACTGGAATAAGCATGAGGACCCGAGTCCCAAATCTAGCACCCAAGTAGGAAGCACGCACTGAAAGGAGAAAGGCAGGTCTCTAGGGCTTACTGGCCAAACAGTTTAGCCTAATCTGTAACCCTAGGTCCCCAAGACAGGCCTTGCATCAAAAATACAAGATGTACCACTTCCAATAACCATCCTCTGATCTCCAGACACATCTGCACACACACACACGTGTACCACAATCACACAGCAAAAAAGAAAATGAGCGAGGGAGAAACCAAGCAAAGGAGGAACCTCAAAGCCTATTGTTTTATGTCAATTTAATATGTCATTCAAATTACAATAATGTCTCAGTAAGACAGTGGGATATTTAGAATACTGTATAACTGACAAGTATATTTATGGTCGTATTCTAGCATGCCTTTAATGCCAGCACTCTGGAGGCAGAGGCAGGCAGATCTCTTATGAGTTGGAAACCAGTCTGGTCTACCTAGTGGAAAAAAGAAAAGAAAGGAAAATAAAAAATGGGGCTGGTAAAACAACTCAGTCATTACAGGCACTTGCCACCACGTCAGACAATCTGAATTTGACTCCCAGCCCCCACAAGCTGTTCTCTAATACCCACACACATGAACCATGGCACTTCATGCCCCTACATACACACTACACAGAAATAATTATATAAATCAATGTAATTTTAAGAAGAAAAATGATAGCCAGGGCTACACAGAGAAACCCAATCTTGAAAACATCAAAGAAAAACAGAGTGAACTTCAAAACCCTCATATCATTTAACATTGTCAAATCCCAGCCAAATACAGAGGAAAAATATGTCCTTTAAGGAGGGCTGAATCCTCATTTTCTGTCACTCCGCTCACTTCCCCTAAGTCTTGCCCCTCTCCGCTGCTCAGGTTTGATAATGCCTGCTATCCCTATCACCCTCAAGTCTGCTGATTCATTCTACACGCTCAGAGCTCTTCCAGCAGTGAGAAATATGTGTTAATAAATAAATTTTTTCTTCAATAAAACTAAAAGCATAAAGTTATATGAAAGAAGGAAACTTAGCAATCAGCCACCTATGAGTTTGTTTCTTTAAAACTTTATCCTCCAGAGTAAAAATTCATGTGGGGTGGGGGGAGGGAGACAGAACAAGAAAGCGTGTGTGTGTGTGTGTGTGTGTGTGTGTGTGTGTGTGGGCGCGCGATAGAGAAAGAGAAAGAGAAAGACTGCACAAGTGTTTGTGTTTGAGAGAATACATGCAGGAAAGTCAGAGGGCAATCACAATTGTTGCCCCGAGCACTATTCACCATTCTCCTTTCCCTAGAGACAGGGTCTCTCGCGAGTCTGCACAGTCTGCTTGCCAATGAGCCCCAGGAATCAGCTGTCTCCACTGCCAAGTACAAGGTTCCAAGTGCGTCCCAGCACTGACTCTGTGTTACATGTGCACACTGGGAATCAAGTTCAGAATCCTGCAAGCATTTCATTGATCCCACCATCTCCCGTGCCTAAAAGTCCACTAAGGCTATTTATTGTATACATATACGGAAAAGCAGAGTCTACACCTAACATCTATGTCACCAAACAACTTAGTTTAATGAAAGATGTACATTCAATGATGTGGTTTACTTTTCAATTTTCATTTTTTTATAGTGGTATATTATTTGTGTTTTATTAAATAAAGCTTGCCTGAAGATCAGAGGACAAAGCAGCCACACTAGTCAGCCATACAGGCCAGAAAGTGGTGGCACACACCTTTGATCCCAGAACTCTGGAGACAGAGGGAGACGGATCTCTAAATTCAAGGCCACCCTGGGCTACAGGAGATTGAATCTGTCTAAAAGAGAAAGAGAACTCACACAAAGGTGATACCGGCACTAGGGAGGTGGAGACAGGAGTGATACCGCTGGGCAGAGAGGAATAAAAAGGGAAGAAGACAGGAGCTCAGTAGAGTTTGGAGTGTGGAGCCTGAGGATTCGTGGAGACCGGATCTCATCCCTTCAATCTCAAGATTTGGTAGAGGTAAAAGGTCTCTCTAGTGGTTGGCTGCTTTACTTTTTTGATCTTTAGCTTGAACCCCAATATCTGTCTCTGTGTTTTTATAATTCATGCTATATTCTTTTCTCCTTTTTGCTTTTTATTTTTGAGACAGGGTTTCTCCGTGTAGCTCTGGCTTTCCTAACTCTGTAGACCAGGCTGACCTTGAAATCACAGAGATTTGCTTGCCTCTGTCCCCCAAGTGCTGGGATTAAAAGTATGCATCACCACTGCCTGGCTCTTTATCCGATTCAATATAGACTTCTTTTTCTTTAATTATTTATTTATTTTTATTTTATATTCATTCATGTTTTTGCCTCCATGTATGCCTATGTGAAGGTTTCAGATTCCCTGGAACTGGAGTCACAGACACCTGTGAGCTGCCATGTGGACGCTTGAAGAACCACTAAGTCACCTCTCTAGTCTGTCAATAGAGACTTCTGACTAGACTACTGCTTTCCTAATCCCATCCACACACAGCCATCCTAGAGGATAAACTCTCACTTCCTGAAGCTGTATTAGTCATGGTGATTTACCAATATCTAAACAGCAGCCCATGACCTGAAGCCCTACTTACCCCATGACTTTAACCAATAAAGCTCACAAAAATCATCACTCTGTCTAATTTTCCTCTCTACGGGCTATAATAAAACTTTAAAAAAAGGAAAAAAATAAACAACACTGGCTCAGTAGATTAAGGAACCTGCCACCCATCTGACTGACTGAATTCAATCCCTGGGTTCTACCAGGATTGGAAGCAAAGAACCGACCATTGTAAGTCATCATCTGACTTTTAGCCCCATACACACACACAGCCATGTCCAAAATATATATATAAATACTGGGGGGGAAACACTATTGATTATGCCCCTCATTGACAAAGCAGCCAGTTTTACCTAGAAGCAGATCCTGTTCATACCTTCCCCATTTGGTTTCAGTCCCATGCGCTCAGACTATAAGACTGTGACAGACTCGTGAAGAACTTGAAGTCCTCTGCTCCATGTTAACTGGACTGCATCTATTTAACTGTTCCCCAAATGGTTCATGTATTCCACAACCTTGGATTTTTAGGCCCACCTACTCATACCTCATTCACAATTCAGTTTCTAACAGGATGTTGATGGAGAACACCTTTAATCCCAGTACTGGTGAGGCAGAGGCAAGTGGATCTCTGTGAAATCAAAGCCAGTCCAGTCTATAGAAGGAGTTCTAGAACAGCCATGGCTATACTGTGAAACCCTGACTCTAAGATAGATAGATAGATAGATAGATAGATAGATAGATAGATAGATAGATA